TTAATATGTGGGTAGGATCATACGTAAATTGCATTCAACCCCATAAAGGGAAGATTAATTGGGTTAAAGATTTATTAGTAGTTATTTTGTGTGTGTGTGTTTGTTTTTAATGCGTGCCTGTGTGCAACAACAAACAGGAGGAATCATAAATGTAAAATAAAAGGGAAGCTGAATAGTGGATCGCGGTGTTAGTTTAGAATGATAGGCGCCTTCTCTTTCCACTGTTTAACGCTTCGCTTAACTAGGTAATGTAAAGCGAAGAAATAAAAAAAGGATGATGTGGTATTGCCTATCTAATGCAGTGCTGCTCGATCAACATTATCAGTAGCGAAGACCCCCTCCCACAACCACTGCTCAAGGTTCACAAGCAACCTATTTCCGTCAACAAGAGACGCATTGGATAGTAAAAGTTGGGTATTCAAGCCTTCATGGACCGCAGTGCGCCTGCTCGTCAAGGTCGACTCCACCAGCACCGTGCCGGCGGTGAGATAAAACTTGTGCAAGTTGACGAAAACCGCCGAAGCATTTCCGCCATCGGATTGTGTCTGATGGTCGGCAATGGGGAGCCTGAGCTGCACCGCAAGGTGCGATCCTGGACGAATATCCACAATAAAACAGGCCTTTAGCAGCGAAACGAAAAAATGTTCCTGAAGCTGCTTTGCTTGCTTTGCCAGGGTATCCATCACTACTGTACACAGCAAATGGTTCGCAGCAAGCAGACCACCTTCTAGGCCGCCATTGGTGAAGTTTTTCTGTATAAAACGCAGCATCACGTCCTGACGTTGAGGCAACACCACGCGAATGCCACTGTCAGCAACGTGCGCACCGCCGTCGAAAATTCCCGCAGGCGTCTTAAACGGTAGCCTTTTCCTCGCAGAATCCTCCGTTGTGTTTGGAGAGAACGATGAAGAAAACCAAAGAGAGGCAGTCGGAACCCATATATTCCAATGCAATTTCAAAACAACCCATTGCCCCCCCGCACAGTTATAAGTAAAATCTATTAAGAGGCCATGCTGAACATCTACCCGTATAACACCCTCGTTGACGTGTACAAACCGAAAATAACGATGTTGGGCGAGATCTCTCAAGGCTTTGCCACTTGAATCCCCCTGCCTCGACGACAAGTTGCGAAGCTGCTCGTGATAGGCCTCTTCAGCCTGATGAAGTCGAGGAAGCTGCAGTAATACCTGCGCTTTGCAGGTCACACGCCACACGCGCTGGAGCATCTGCCTCTCCGCAGAAAGATTGAGCGCCGCGTATCGCCGAATCGCGGGTGAGAGGTAGATAAAACTTGAAGAATTTGACGCGATACCCATGGCAAAAGTATCCAACTTCGGTAAGAGCGGAACACGTCCTGCGTAAAGGGAGAGTCGCTGTTCTCTTTGCGAGGATGATATTTCGTCGAATACGCTCGATAATGCGTTCCCTATCGTGGTAGAACTCAATTCGGGCTCTTTACCATCATCCGAAGATCTTGGACGCTTTTGGCCTTCCAGCGTCCTTTCCAGTCCATCGATAGAGTGTGTAGTGGACGCGGAAGGTGAATGTATCTTCAACTTGGTCGCACTTTTACTCATCTTGCGAAACATCATTCGCACGTTGGTGCTGTACAACTCAGTTGAAGCCTCCATTAACCCCCTCGAACGTGCTATAGGTTGAATCATGGAGGAGCTCTCGCCTGTGCACGTGATTTCGACAGGACGGGCCTCCGTCGTATTAATCCTGACAAGGCAATCGTGGAGGCTTTCAATCGCTCGAATTGCCACCGTGCTGTGGGCTCTAACTGTGAACCCGCTCGATCCCGCTGATCGAGAACCGTTTTCGTCTTGGCTTTTAAAACCCAAAATTTCCTCATTACACGAAGTATTTGTGGGATCAGATCGGTGGCTCTGCTGGCCTCGATGCCGTGTACGCTCCTGCTGACGACGAGCCCACTGCTCTACGAGGCCCACAACCCGTTTTATTCGTTTCGTTCGAAAGGCAAGCTCGCGTATCTCATCACTGCCGTATTCCACCATATCCCCCAATGCCAAAGTTATCCCCTCGTCCGACGTGCGGGAAGGTGCGGCTTTCCCTTCGTGTCCACTTTCCATTTGTGGCGTTGAAAGAACCTGTGGTGAGGAATTCTGTAGTTCGGAGAGCTCCTCCAGGGTCTGAATCGTATAATCTGCCATGAGCCGCATAACGTAGACAAAGAGTTCACCTCTATGGGAACTGTTCCCATCACAATCGGAGGAGGATCCGGGATGTGACATGAGGATCCCAGTATAAGAACGTATGTGTGCTTAAGGGTTGTTACTTATTAATTCTATCACAGAGAAATCACCCCCTGCATGTAACAGAGGTCTGTGCTTAGAGTTACTTCAGAAAAGAGGGAAACCGTCAGAGTTGTGCCCTGAAGAAAATAGACGAGAAGTTACTGAAGTCTACACAGAGAAAGAGAGGGGGAGGGGAGGGGGGGTAATACAGGACATCCTGTTACAAAAAAGGGGGTCAATAAAACACATCCCCATTGATGTGGATTACGAAGTTCCAATACGAAAAATTTTAATATGAAATGAGTAATAGCAGGGACTCGGGACCGAAGCCAAGGAGTTGAATTTGGAAACCAGTACGAAAGTATAATTTTAAAAAGGCAATACTACGAATTAATGTGAATGACATTGAAACACAATATTCAAGCATATCGTATAAAAAAAAAATGCCGATCCTTTTATTCGTTTAGTACTATTTTTAGGCCAATATGATTGAATGAAAATGGTGAAAGAGAAATTTGAACTTATCCTCCCTAATTCAGTAGAGAAAGTGTGAAGAGGTAGCAACAGTTGTAGACTATGCGGATACCTCATTATCGGAAATTTTGTTATTTTACAGCGCCGGTAGAGCTAGTCAGAGGCGGTGAAGTTGGTGTTCAATTCGGCCATGTAAAGGTATAATTTGCCACATCACCGTGCTTGGCACCGCTCCTTGTACTTAACGTATACACTCCCAGCTGCAGACTTGGGATGATAGTTAATTACTTGATGTGGCTTATAAAAACGCATGCCTAAATGCTAACACTCTGTAAAAGCCTTGGTGTTCATCCCCCTGTTGACTATTTGTCCTTTTTATCCATATTTCCTTTTCTGAAAAAGGTAAGAGCTGCCTTACCACCCACAATAACCGCTATCTTTTTGATAGAGCTTATGGTATTTTATGTTCTATGGCAATACATTCCAAATGTTGCTAGACAACAAAAGCAGCGCATTACGGAAGCAAGCTACAAACAAATGAATTTGAAATCCTTTCCCTCAAAATAAACTTATATTAAGATTAATGCATATAATTGAGTGGCAAGGAAAAAAAGGAATGGAAAGTAGGTAAACACAAAAAAACGAACCAAGTTTTTGGAAAAAATTCAGATTTTGAACTTGCGCTCTTGGTAAAAATTTACGTGCTTATACTATGATAATAAAAATACGAACAATTTTTAATGATTAAACCTCAAACTATAGAATTTTCTCTCCCTAGTTTATTTACTAATTAAATATATTTCATACTAAAGACACAAATAACGTATACAAAAATATTATAAACTGATATCCTGACTAACTTCAAAGCCCTGAAGTAAAAATTCAACGCGAAGTGCTGTGTATTTCTATTTTTGCACTTGTTGTTCTTTTTATTTTACATCAGATTTCTCTGAAATGATTTCCATTATCATTGATTCAATACAAAAAAAATCATAATGAAGGGTATAAATGATAATCAAGATATGAAAAAAAAAAGTAAAACCGATGATAACGGTACTCTGTCTATTAAGCGCTCGATGTATTATGATAATAATCGGAAAGTATGTCTGAAGCTGTGTGCATGCATTTGTGCCTCCAAAATATAAGGCGTAGTTATTGTAAAAAAATCACGTATGGCAAATGAACACTATATAGAAAAAACTATATAAAAAATCTATACATTTGATTAGATTAAAAAAAAAGGTAATATGTGTTATTTGGGGGGTATGAAGATATACCATTCGGTGCTTATCACAGAGGCAGAGGAAAGTCACCTTCTTGCCATATAGGATATAGCACCTTGGATTCGACAACCGAAACGGGGTGCATGTTGGGCATTGGATGTTCACTCCATAAGGAGTTCGGAAAAAGTGAAAGCAGTGGTTGATAATCCAGTAAAGGGATTCGATCGCGCTGGATATAAAGAGGCTGCAATAACTGTAATGCGGCACTCTGCATCTGATGGTCCAACTTCGATTTCCACAAGAAGGATACAAGTGACGACCGCTCCAACACCCAAACCTCTAAATGATCCTCCATCGCAATAATGCTGTGAGTCCATCGGTGGCGTCGTACGCAAGTATAGCCAATGGTATGCCCTGATGGAATGGGGAAAAGCTCCTCGGTGGAAAGTGATTTAAAGTTGAGGATCTCGCCGTCATAGAAATCGGCCAAAGGGCTTAAGGCCTTGACTTCCTGTCGGAAGCGGTTCTCGTCAAGAATAACTCCCGCCTGACCCTCGGAAAAGTAGAAGAGATGATTGCACTCCTCCCCACGTCGTACAATAAAATCCCCCTTTTCGAAGATCGAGCACCTCCAGTAAATGCTCAGATCGGTAAGATCCTCCTCTTTGACAATAAGGCCCAACAATGGAATACGTTTCATGATCTTGACAAAACGCGACGGATCACCTCGAACAATAAACGAAGAGCCTGAAGAAGTCAGGACCCCATTTCGTGCGCTAGTGAGGCAGCATTTTACGGAGTTCAAAGGCGTTCCGGGTGAAAAAACTGCGCTGGACTTCTGCCTTTCCAGAACAGCCCCCCCCTGACGCCCTGAAATCAAATTATCCCCCGAGTCCTCCATCGCAATCGCAGAGTGTAGATTTGCCAGCTCAAACATGATGTTTTGATGTTTTGCCGCATTCCGCATGAGGGTAATATCCACCCCGCTCAAACTAAAAGAAAGCGACGGCGCCTCCTTTGAGTTTAGTTTATTTAAAACAGATGTCGCGATAATGACGTCCTTATGCGCCACCGGCCACTGCTCCATCAACCGAATTAAGATATCAAAACGCAAAATGTACATATCAACGTGGCTTACCGCGTAAAACAAGTCCTTAATCCTTTCCCGGGAAATGCACTGAGCCTCCCCAAACGTGTGGCCTTCCGTGAGGAGGGTCCGACTTCGCGGACAGGACGAGGAAAAGGTCTCCGTGATATTCTGATGCTCCAGATCCACACAAACAATTCCGCGGCGGATGAAAAAGATGTGCTTTGGGTTTGAACCTTCACTACATAGCATCCCGGAGGCGTATACTTTCGGTACTAAATACTCCCGCAGGTGATTTACGTCTTCGGACCTCAAGCGGGATAAAAATGGGCAAACACTAAGTCGTTCTCGGGTCATGGGAGCGAAGTAGGGCATAAGAAGCTCGCGTTGTTTGAGCGCCTGCGTGAGAAGCTTCCGTTGAGAATTTAGCGGCAATAACGAAACGATTCGACAATAAATATCAAACGGAATGCTAGCGATCACTGCCTGCTCGGAATGCACCACGATTTCCGCGCAAAAAGGAAAGCCACCAATGCAAGGGATTTCTCCCAGCACAGCCGGGGCCGATAACCAATCTTTCTGCACCGTATAATCCAGGGGAAAAAGTTTCCCTTGCCACCTCCGCGAGGTAGTTGAACTATCCATTCCACCCCCAGAGGGGCATGAAGTTTGCGAAAGTCCTTTGGCCTTTCCCCCTGCCTGAAAGATGGGCGGGGGATAAGTCCCTTCGAGGCTTGAATTCATCGTGGATATGGAAAAAGACGGAAATTTCGATCTCGATTGGGACCACCTCCCGGGATGCGAATCCTCCGCCCCGACTTTCCGTGGCTCCACCCGCTCGAAGGTGCCTTCTAACAAGATCAACACTTCGTGGGCAGGCTCCATCGGCCATTGCACCATCTCCCCTTGCAAATAGGCTCGAAACCTGAGATTGAGATCGAGCACGTTAGAAATCGCCTCTTTTAGGGTTTGCGAGGCCTGAATTTGGCTCTGGGAGGATGAAAACGACAACGATTCCCGCTTTGCGGTGGGATCGGTCCCGGTGGAATGCCCGATGGATGAGAATAATATAGAGCGGGAGGACTTTTCACCCGGCGGTCTCCCCCCCACGCGGGGGTTCCCCAAATCCCCCTCCTCCTCGCCAACGAACCTCACCTCGGTGAGTGGAGCTTTGGTGACGTCCTTCCCCAACCCCTCCCCCGCGGCGGCGGAACGCAGAAGAGGGGTGGCCTGGGCGATGGCGGATTTGGATAAAATGGCCTGCAGACAGCGCTGTTTGGCGCGTTGGTCTGGTAAATACCGGTGGAGGAGGGCGTTGAGTAATTTCAGCCGCGCCCGCCGCCCCCGCCAGCGCCGCACCAACGGGGCAAAAAGCCGCCGAAGAAGGGCAAGGGCAAGCCGCTCGAGTTTGTCCCGGACGTCGTCGGGATAGCCCCAGGAGCGGATTTGGGCGTGCGTGGGGATAAAAGGCGTCAGCGTGGACAACATGACGGAACGGGCCCTGGCACGGAGGGTATGGGATGGAGGCGAAAGGTGTGCACGATAAATATCAATTAATATAGATCTAGATATCTAGATCTGTATATAAAAACAGAAAGAAAAATATAGAAATATAATATATAGGTATGGATATATATCGTATAAGTATGTATGTATAAGTAAGAAGAGAGAGGAGAGAAGAATGGTGAATCCATATGACAGGGTTCTGGTAAAAGCCTTGGTGAGAAAAAATGAAAGCAAAATCCTACTTGGTGGTAACTCCAATACAGTTCGCTTTTGCAACATCGGCACATTTTTTTTCCCATGCGTTGTAAAGCAATTACACGATAGCATTCCATTTTTTAAAAACACTACTTAAAACATGGATGTTTAAAAGTTATGGGCTTTTTTCAACAGACCGAATCGACGACTCCCCTCAATAAAGATCAATGCGTGAAACCTTTCGATTTCATAAACCTATCAAAAACAAAGATATAAATAAGTGGAACCTTTCACAAATATTTAACCTCAATTTTAACACCATTGTGGAAGAGTATAAAACTAGGGTGAAATATAAGCACTGTCAAGAAGCATTATGAGTACATCCTCAATGGACCACTCAAAACAAATGCGGTAATGAAATTTGAAAAAAAAAAATGTCGATATGATAGTTGATACAAAATGATACACGCATATTGAAAAATAATACTAAACACCGTTTTGAGGAAATGTCGTTTCTCATTTTTCAAGAGTCTTTTTTAGGGTCCGATTCGTCTGAGCCACACATTATATATAAAAAGATATACCTTATGAAGAACTAAAAGAGTTAATCGGCATTTCGCAATGAATAAGAATATAAAATAGTATTTATGATATCTAACACAAGAGCATTTTATAAATAACTAACGTGAAAATTTTACAATAAAATGGATCGGAAATAATACACGGGAATAAAAATATAAGCCTATTTGTTAGATTTGTGATGTAAATTTATTCTATTCCACAAATCAATTTGCTCATATTAAAAAAAAAATCCTATCATACTGTTTCTTTTCTATTTGCCAAGATGGGTCAAAATAACTGGGGGTTGACTATTGGTTCGATGCCTTTTCGGTGTTAAATATTTACTATTCTGAGTAAATCCAACATCAGGAAATAGAAAGTCATCGTTGGAATTTTCCCTCGAACGCTTGTTTGAGCGCACTGGGGTTTCGGTGCGGCCGATGGGGCGTAGTATGTCTTGTTTTGCCGCATAATTCTTGAAAGTATCGATGAGGATATTGGAATCCTCCACGTTGAGGTTCATTCGCGAAACTGCCACGACGCGGAATTGATCGCGCGTATCAAGAGCGTTGGTGACGCGCTGTTCGGTAGGAAAATATGGGCAAAGGGGTTCTAGACGTGGGTTAAAAAAACGAATCCGACTCAGGGGATCGACATCCCCTAAATCCTTAGAAGCCTTGTAAATGGTTAATCCCAGCATCGCAATGGGACAGAGACCGGTTTCATCCTCCCACATCTCCATTTGTTCCTTTAAATCGAAACTTTCTACCGATGCGATGAGATCACGCGCGGTAATAGCTTTGGCCTGACTCGGGGAGCTGGTCGTGTAGTAGCCTAAGGTTTTATAAATATGTCGATACTGGATGCTATTTAGGATATCACGGGCTGGCTTCAGCTCAGGCTTTGTACTATAGCGAATCGAACTCAGTATCCAATCCCCGGTCTGCAGATACGCTTCTGGATGGTCAACAATCTCGCTGAGTCGGTACTCCTTTCCCTCATGAATGATCGTAAAGAACTCGTCGGCCGCCACAAACGCGTCGAGGGTCATTTGATCCATAACTTGAGAAACACGGTGCTGATAAACGAGTCGAAAAAGACGCGCACGGTTGATAAAAACCTCTTCGATAGTACCCTCGAGCTTATCTTGGTAGATGATCTCGGTTTGTCCATTTTCGTCCTCTAAGACATACGCCCCCTGAAAGATCCGCTCAACCGACGAGAGGGCACACGAGCCAAAGCAACTTAGTGAATCCCGTTGAATGTAGTCTAACTTATCCACATCCAGGCCGCTGCGCCGGTTCGCAATGATGTCCGTCATAAAACGCCTCGAGGGCGGGCGGCCCACTTCATTCTCGGGCCACTCCGCCAATGGATCCAACCCATGAATAAGCAGCTCCACAAAACGCAGATCGGTCTCGAAAAGCTTCATCTGCTCCAGCTCATCCTGTCGGTTTCGCCAGATCGTGCGCACCATTAAAACACTGGCCTCCTCATGAGACCACAGTGGTATGTGCTTGGAGGCGCGGATCTCGTTGACGTACTTTTCAAACATGTGCGAAAGTGGCCCGTGGCCAAGGTCATGGCAGAGCCCGGCGATGCCCACGCACCAGAGATCTTTGACGATCTCATCGCTTGAGATATCTGGCAGCTTCATCAGAAATTTGTTCTCCGCCTGGTTTTCGAAAATTTGCTTGAAAAAGCGCATCCCGAGGTGGGCTACCCCAAGGCAATGCTCAAACCGTGTGTGCGTCGTGCTTGGGTAGACATAGTGGGTGTTGCCGACCTGCTTGAGATCCCTCAAGCGCTGTACCTGCGGACTATCGATAAAAAGTCCAAGTACAGGTGGAAAAATAATCTGGCCATACACCCGATCAAAAATCTCCTTCCGACGCATTGTGATTTGCGTGTTGGATTCAGGAGTCTCCTGCGTTGGGGGGTAGAAAATGGGAGAATCACATGAAACGGAATGTGATCGTCCAAACGCCAGCGACGAAAATCCCTGGTCGTCCATGATTGGAATAATGTCAACTTAATGATTCCGTGCGTATTCGTGATTCTGGATTCTTTTAGAGTCCTGTAAAGTTAAAAAAATGTGAAAAGAGACTAATTTTATGTAAATACTTCTTTCTCGTCTTTCTTTTCAGTTTGCTATATTTACCTTTAGATTACTCTCCAAAATGGTGCAACTAGTGTTTATGGTATAAAAAATGAAATTTAGAAAAAGAAGGTAATAATGCATTTTTGAATCCCTTGCAAATTCAAATACGTAAAGGGTAAAACATATTTTTTAAAGGTAGAACATCTCACCGAAAATAGAAAAGCCCAAGACAGGGATAATGACCAAGGCACACGAAGAAAAGTTTAAAATTCAAAAAATAAGAAAATTATAGCAAAATTCTAGATAGTAATATTAAATGATGTTATTTCGTTGCACCGTTGAGCGTTATAGATTCATGTATAGACCTCTGTCATGAAAACAGAATCATTCGTGGTCGTCTGTGCTTCTGACGCCTGTGGTAACGAAGTTGACAAATCGAGCGCGACTTGATGCTTTAAATTTTCATGAACTGTCGTGGTAAGACGTCCTTCAGGTCTAAAATTTTGTAAAACAGATCTGGGACTCACCTCCTTTGTGGCCCTCTGACCATTTGATGCAAAGGATACATGTTTCTTGTTTGCATATGACACGCCTTCTTTCTTGACAACAACCACTGTGGGAGACGAAGACGCTCCCATCCCTGCTTTCCCGTGTTGCAATACCTTACATACCTCATTGTTGTCAGCCCCTTTGTTTAGTGGAGCATGTTGGGGTAGAGGGTACTGTTGTGTGGCTACGGCAGCTACAAGGTGATTTTGCTTTTTCTGGAGCATGTTTATCTCTCGTTGAAGGGTTTGAATCTTCGTCGGAATACCATCCCTGCCTGCAAACACCACAGCGCTGTTATTAGCAATGCAACGAGTCACTTCCCCCTCGGCTTCCTGATTCAGTTTGTGCATGATCTTGGTGTGCTGTATTTCTGCCCGGTTAATAAACTGACGTAAGGAAAAATTCCACGCCACCTCATGTTGGAAGTCCTTCAAAAGAGTTAAGCTTTGCGATAGCCCACGCTCTGCGCAGTTCAAGTCCCTGTGAACGCTAAGAATCTGCTTTTTCACCGCTTCGATCTGCGAATCCACAAGGCGAAGCCTTAACTGGGCATGTTTGTGTTGCTCAGCAAGGCGATTTCTAGATTCACAAAGCAACTGAACTTCACCAAGGAGGCGTTCAACAGTGGCGTCCAGACCCTCCACATTCCCCTTGGCGCGATCGGCGCCGCCAGAGCGGATGTCGCTCTGGCCCAAGAGAGCGCAATCCCCGCGAAAACTCCTCCTCGCACTCGCTTTCAGAGCGGACGGTGTCGACGAGGCCGGGTTCGAGCTCCGACCCCTCGCGGGCGGCGTCTTCCCACCCCCCGGTGCGAGGCCCGCGAGCGCGTCAAGGCCGTTGGGGCCGCCAGCCGCGCGTCGGCCCTCCCCCCCCGTGGGGCAGGAGAGGCCCCTGCCGGGCAGCCCGCCCCCCTTCGAGCCCCCTCGAGGGCGAGCAGGGGAGGGGGTTGTCACACAAGGCGCGTGGCGGGGGGCTGTGACGGGAGGGGGAGGGGG